AAAAAAAAAAAAAATAAGTACCGAAAAAAATTCTGAAATAAATGATAATTCAGTCCAAAAGACCGAAAAAAAAATTCAATAATATGGTCTAAAAATAATATAAGTCTTAAAAGATTATTTAATAAAAAAAAAAATAATAATAATTTTTCGGTTTTGGAAAAAAAAATAGAGGGAAAAAAAACGAAAAATTTTTAAAAAAAGAAAAAAAAAGGAAAGGTGTTTTGAAAGAGAAAAGAGGAAATTTGAAAAAAAAAAAAGAATCAAAAGTAAAAGATCGGTTCAAGAAAAAAAAATGAAAAATTATAAAAAAAGGGGAACCGAAAAAATTTAGATCGGTTGGAAAAAAAAATTTCCGATTAAAATTTCATTAACCGGAATTGGATCAGGTGTACAACATACTTGCTGATCAAGCGGGTCTTAACTATAAAGAATACGAATCAGCTACACCATTTTTTTTAATTATATAGATAATATTAACACTATAAATGTCATGTTTTGATATCATATAACATAATATTAACAAACTTTAATAATAAAAATGTTATTTTAATATCTAACATTTAACATCCCGTTAACATCATCAGATATTCTTTTACATCCCATTAACATCTCAGATCTCGGTTCATTTAATATCTCAGTAATTTTATTTTCGTTTTTTTAAAAAAATTGAAATTTTCTTATTTTATTAAGAAAGATGATATAAAGGCTTAATGTGGATTGCCTAGTTTTCATTTTTAATGAATTACAAACAGAAATTTTAGTTAATAAAGAATGATGTCATTTAGTAGTTCCAATCTTATGGAAAAATTATCCACAGAAAATTAATGATACTTTCTTGTCTTTTATCCACTTCAAAAAAATACCTTTTATAATGGTATCAAATTACCTTCGACAATTCTTTTAAAACCGCCTTCATTTAATTATATTAGTTATTGTAAATTTCTGAAATCTAAACTTATTAAAGAAATTACAGAAATGGTAACTGGTGGAACCTTTATAACTGGAAGATGTAGAAAATACAAATATTTAGAACAAGAGTTATACAAATTATACATTAGTCAATGTAATAATATTAAAGAATTATCATGGAGAACCTCACAACCTATATTAGTTATCATTCCCAGGAGCTTCAACATAAGTTGATACTGATTCACTTTATAAGATGTCAAAACTTTGTAAAAATTTAAATGTATTAATTATTCATGATTATTCCCAAGAAAAAATTTCCGGATTATCTCTTTAATCGATGCACAAAGAAAATTAAAAAGTGTATAGTTTGAATTTCATATTAAAAAAGGACCTACTTGTAAAGAATTAAGCGAAGCATTAGAAAGAAAAGGAAATACGATTAATAAACTTAATTTACGCTCAGTTAGAATTATTCCGCCTTCATTCTTAACATCACTAACTAATCTAAAAAAAATAACAATTTATAGTATTTATGATAGTGATGAAGATACTAAAGAAGAATTTCAAAATTATCTTGCAATTTCAGAATTTCAAATTCTTTGTCTTAATAGATTATCATGTTTTAAAAGAATCTGCAACTTTAGTTGAAAAAACAAAAGTCAATATTTCACAAGTTAATATTTATACTTAAAATACAGGAATGTTGATTAAAACAATATCTAATAATAATTGTCCAAATATTGAACAATTATCAACATATCTTGTACCTGAAGATTTCGATTATGTTAAATCATTGTTATTAAATTGTAAAAATCTAATATATTTAGGATTAAATAGTTTAGATTATTTTACGGATATGAATGATGAAAATGATATAATATAGGCGATAATTTATTAGATATATTAACGATTTTTTGAAAGTTGTAGGGAATGAAATTATATTTTTCTGGAATCACTTATAATAGTGATAATTTTGAAAATATTACATATATACATGTATTATAAGAAAATACATGGATGAAAAAGTGATTATCGAATTTTTCGGATCAATTTTGTGGGAAAATATTATTATCTGGAGTAACTTCTTTATTAGTCTGATATGACAATAGGAAAATTTAGATACCGACAGATAGTTTGCATTTGGAGTTTGTTCAATTTTTTTGTCATAGGTTGTATATTTAAGCTGTTTATGATGTAACTGTTGTTGTTGTAATTATGTAAATATGATTGATATATAAGAGCAGTTTTATATTTAATATAAGCTAAATCTTTTATCTAGTAAAAATTAATTTTACAATATGTAAAATATTTCGATATAAACCCATATTCCTTTTAGGAAACATCATACTTTTAAAGAGTTCCGGAGCAATACTAGTTCTCTTCACAGATATCTCATCATGTAGATATGTACCGCATGTTATTAAATCATTATTGGATTTGCCATGCTAATTAAATGACCATTTCAATACCAACCACTCACATCTTAATGGCGGTAATGGTTACTTCGCATTAAATGAATAATTTTTTCATAATTTAAAAATATTTATAATACTAAAAATCACCCGATAGACTATCATTTGACTAAATAACATTTGCGAAAATTTAAATTGTTCGACATACTGAACATTGAATAGATGTAAAAAACCTATAGTAATTTTAGTATATATTATCTATTAGAATTTAAGTATGCTTTAATAGATAATTATATATTTTAAAAGTATTTTAAACTATGACAGTTTTTGTAAAATTATCTATTTTTATTTTTTTCAAATGTTTGCGCCCGACCTATTCCAAATCATTATAATGCTATGCCTATGTAAAAATTTAATTGTTAATCTGCAAGTTTGTTTTATTACCTTATTATGAACTTCACGATGTCATTTATACATACTAAATTGGGATAGTATGTAAATTTTATGAAGTTAAATTTTTTTTAATCGATTATCTAAAATTTTATTCTTTTTTTTTGTTACCAGAATTTTTTGTGTGTTCTACCCTTTAATTTTCTTAAGTGTTCGTATTTTAATACATTACTATAGCTAGTCTTATATTTTTTTTCTCATGGCTCCAGTTGTCTTATGATATAGGGAATTAAAAATAAATTATTCAAATATAAAACTTACCAAAAATTTAATATATGTCACAGAAAAATGTGCAATATATATACACATGTGTATATTAGTATTGTCTCATAACTAATCCTATCATTCTTCTGCATTACTATTTTAATAATTTTCCTATTAATAGATGATCATTTAGAATGATTGTCTACTCGTGTAAATAGCTTGGATTAGGTTTTTAGCGAGCACAGAACAAGCTTCTCCGGTTTTAATAATTTCCATTCCTTGCTTTATTGAATATTTCATTATGCTTATTTTGAAAGATCAACTACTACAAGCACTACAGATTTTTTTTTTTTTTTTGTTGGCTTTTTTTGGAGTCAGGATCTCAACAAATTTTCATTAAATTTGCATAACATTGTGGTTTATCTTCTGTAATTTCAGATCATTTTCCATCAAGAATTTCAAAAATGAGATTGATATCATGTTCAAAATTAGCAAATGCTTACAGTCTGTTGCAGGTTCCCCAAATAATCATTCTTATACTATAACCCTTTAAACATTTCTGGTTCAATATATATAATATGTTACCATTATAAATATTTTTATGTGAATTAGAAATCATCATAAGTATTATAATAAAAAAAATACATTAATATAAACAACACCTGAAATTTTCCATAAAATAATTTATTCCACGTAATTTTCACCAAATTTAAGATCTCTTAATCCCGAATTTTAATAATATGATATTGATTTGATTTTAACTAAAAAATTCAATAACAAGGATTTTTTAATTAATTAAATCATTTTATTAAATGAATAATATAAGTATTTAAAAATATGAATATTTACTAACTCACCTAAAAATATTTTTTGGTATATTGAGAATACACTTATTTGTACCGATATATGATGTCATTTCCTTTACACGTGTAAACTGAGAATGTATTTATAGATTTAAAGATTTAACCAGGCAATATTATTATGAAATAATCAAATGAAAATGTATCTTCAAAAGTGTAATATGTCGGTTGTATTTAATATTGAAAATCATATTACTTTCATACTTTGTAAGAAAATCTAATTATTTTTTGCTTTACTAAATGTAATCATAATTATATAATATTTATTTATTACATTTTTACAACAAATTGAATTACTTATATAGCCAACTAAAATTATAATTGCTAAAATCATCTTACGTCTAATTACAGACAAAAAATTGGTTAGGATTTTGGAAATTTGAAACAGTATTTTAAATTTTCTCGATTGAATTAATTTGGATTGCAAAGAAAAAAAAATTTTATTGACTCGATTTTAAAATTATGTGAAATGATTGTTTTTGACCAATTTTAAATTTTTGTAACGTCAAGGAACCTTTTTGCCAATAACATATGATTAGGTAAACATAATTCTAACATGCATAGTTTATCAAACATATATTATTAAGAAACTAAACATATAAAATAAACTGAAAGAAATCAAATATAATGAACAGTTTATGTTTTAACATATAGTAAATATAAGTAGCAAGAGATAAGCTATATAGAAAATAATCTGTCAAAACATTCAATTTAACGTTAGCACATACTATTTTAACAATTAATTAGAAGTCACAAACTATACTAGGTAACAGAAACCGTTGAAGTCTGTCGCTTATTATGATTCTCTGTAAATAGAGTGAACGTATTACAAATAAATTAAAAAATTGTTTTTGCAAAAAAAGGATACAAATATAAAGGAAATAATGAGCAGGGGAAATTTTATTCAAAAAGGAATTATGACGTAAGTGGATGGAAGGAAGGGAAGGAAAATTGTATGAGTTACTAAAAAAATAAAATTTTAAAATAGAATATACCTTCATGTTTTAACTAAAATTAGGCCTTATAAAAAATATTACCCGTTATTTCTGTAAAAACTCTGTAAAAATGAGCCTTTTACGGATCCATTCACGGAAAATGTAAATAATTCGATAAATTCCGTGATATATATAAGGTTATTAATTCCAAAAATATGAGCCTTTTATGGAAAAATGATGGAATATAAAACACGGATTGACTTTATTTATAGGGAGAAATTCTGGATTATTAATTTTCGGACTGTATTTTTCTGATGCGTTGATCTGCATCATGATTGTTTACATTATCAAAGTTATAATGTTGAACAAGGACATGCTCAATTGCTCATAATCCTATCTTATTTGTTAGTAAAAATAGGACTATTTGTCCACTAATTTTTTTGGAGAAAAATGCTGATAAAATGCTTTCTTATAATCTTAATGTGAGAAAATAAACAAGTTTAATTTTGTTATTTTCTTTTATTGAACATGACATTTACAACGGACAGAACTACGTGATTATAAATCACCCACTTTTCTTTTTTTTAGTAAGCATTTCGGTACAGAATTTTTTCAGTTAGTGAAAACCTATTTGTCATGCCCCTTATTGTCACAAGCGTAATTTCTTAATGCCGTAATGCTGGCCAAACCTACTCCGCTTTAAACTAACTACTTATGGTTGGAATTTCTCAATGCAGATCAGTGCATCGGGAATAATACGGACCGAAAAATTTTTTTGTTGTAATTTCTACTTTTGGTTAGAATATTTCTTTTTAGAAGCTTCATTGACAGTTAACAAGAAAAAAATTTTTTGTTAAAAAAATTTGTCTAGAAAAAAATAATTTTTTTTTTTTTTCAGTAAAAACAAATTTCTAAATAACAAATGGAAACAGAATTTAATAAATTAAATATCTCAGATGAAGATACTGTTACAATAGACACCAAAAATTGTTCATATTGTAATATACCTTTTACTGAAGAATTATGGTGTAAAGAATGTATTAATTCTTTAGAAAAATTAGCAGAAAATGGTGATAAAGAAGCAATGTTTAACTTGGCCAACTGTTATAAGAATGAAGAAGGAACAGAAAAGAATTTAGAAAAAGCATTTCATTGGTATCAAAAAGCAGCAGAAAAAGATCATATTGATGCAATGTTTAATCTAGCCAATAGATATTATAATGAAGAAGGAACAGAAAAGAATTTAGAAAAAGCTTTTCATTGGTATCAAAAAGCAGCAGAAAAAGATCATATTGATGCAATGAATA